AATTTTATCACACACACACACACACACACACACACACAAAAGGCTGTGGTTTTTAGGGTCATAGTAATTAATACCTGTGGCACTATCGCCTATTGAACTAAGATATCCTGTTGGATCTGAGCAGTTAATGAGAAACCCATTTTCCTGGGGTAAAGATAGAAAACGTTTTCTTCATTCTGATTTGGAATTGCAGTTTCTCCTCCTTTTGCATCTACACCCCTCCACACACACATACCCCTTGTACAAACACAGTTTTGTCCACTTTTCCACTTTGGAAATGATATACCAAGGACTAGCAGTGTCCTCAGAAATATGCAATTCCAAGGGTGTGCCTAACTAGACAATAGCCACCTCGCTCTTAGCATAGTTTTGGTGGGAGTGTCCTCTGCTACTCTAGCAAGCACAGTGGACAGGAATAGTTTTCTGTTCTTAAGTCTTCTTAGGTGTTTTCCAAATTCAGTTGTACTTTATTTCTCAGGCCCAGTATTACTCCAGGGGCTATAATTTAGGCACCCCCTGGTGGTCAATAGAACACAATTAATTCTCCTAAACATTAATTCATATTATTTAAGCTTAATGGCCAGTTTTACAGTTTATGACATACAACCCCGCCCCCAAATAGCGGTATGGTCTATATGCTTGTGTTCCAGGCAAATGTTGCCTTAGTTACTTGTATACATATGGCTTTGTCCTATGAAAGTGCTGTTTATAAATCATGGAATGCCATAAAATAGCAGGTAAAGTGTTAATTCAGAGAGTCTGAGATAAAGGTGGGGGGACACGCATCCACTTTAAATGTTTAAGGAAAACATTACTACCATCAGATCAAATTTACTTTAAACAAATTCACACAATGGGAACAAATACTGCAACAGATAACATAAATATAGAATAGAATGTAATATATTGTTAATATTTAAAAAATTTTTTACCTCCTTAATTTGTGTAACTGAGAAATAGAAAATGTTTCTATCACATTGGCAGAAGTACACTATGTAATTTTTTCTTCAACAGCAAATTCTTTGTGCACTATTTCAGGAACTGTGCTAATAGCACTGGTATTCCTAGTGTTTAAAGCTGTGTTGACATGACAAAGTGCTATAATTTTAACTTGTTATTGTGAGGCAGAAACTGCCTCATTAATTTCTGCTTCATTCATAACCGAGGAACAAATCAATGTTTACCAATGAGAATGAAGCTAAATGAGTAACAAAAAGAAAATCTAAAACACTCGTGATAAGTCATTAGTTTAAAATGTAGAAAAACAATTTTAAAGGAATGTCTAAGTTCTGTTTAGTCAACACAATTTAAATAAAAATGAGAAACTGTTTTAGTAAATTTAAAATGGATTGCTCACTGCACACATTTAATTTTTATCCTGTTAAACCTGAAAAAGCTTGCTCTGTACAATAAATATAACATTATTAGTATAATATACTGCAGATGAAATAGCAGTGACCATGCATTAATAAAATATGATCCTTTATTACATTGGGAATTTATGAACTTCAGATATCCCAGCACTTTAAATATAGTGAAGATTCAAATAAAAATGTCTTGTTTTATCCATAATTCAAAGATTTCAAAATATCAAAAAATGACAGATAAGCCTAAAAAGGATATCCCTTTTATTTTATGAATGGGGAAGATAAGAACCAGAAAAAAAAAATGTTTCAAAATTTAACAACTAGCTAGTAACAGAGCAAAGAAGTCTGGCCCTTCTAATTACTTTCCTGTTACTACAGAATTAAATCTTTGAGTGAAAACATAGATGTTTTGAAAAGTCAATTCATTCTTTGCCTTTTAAAAAAAAGCAACCAAAGTCACCACCTATAATAATCACCTTTAAGTGGTTAACACCCTTCCTGACATTGGCTCTGTGGCTGAAAGACTATTGCTTTATGGTCAGCCATGCAGAGAAGTGCATTATTCCTCTGTGAGTAGTGCAATAGGAAAAACACCAATACTATTTTCAAGGCAGAGCACTTTGATCAGTTCTACAAAGTATTTTGTTAGAGCACCAACCCATTTGAAAATCAATCACAAGGCATTGAGTATGGGAAGCTAGATGCTTACAAAGGAACATGGCAACTTTCATATTGTATTGTTCCAAATAGCACCTAAAGACAGTTCTGTGTGTGTTTTGGGTGTGGGAGTACCAAAGACTTGTACAGGCAAGAGGAATGGGGAGTCCCTGCTTGAATCTAAGCTGGCTGGGTCTACCACTAGGATTCAGCATTGTTTGGCCACAGTTAATAAGTGAAACACTGGGAGGTGGGCACAGTGGTACACCCCTGCAATCCCAGCTACTCAGCATGCTGAGCCAGGATTGCTAGTCCGAGGGTAGACTGGGCAATTTAGTGAAACACTTTCTCAAAAACAGAATTTAAAAAGAGGGCTGGGCCTAGCACTCATGAGAACCTGGGTTCAACCTCCACTACTGAAAAAAAAAACAACAACAACCAGAAAAACAAATAAAGGAGAGAAGCAAGTACATAAGTAACCAAACCCTGGAGGTGAGGTAGAGCACAGGACAGTTAATTTCCCTCTTGGTCACCTTCAGGACAACTCCCCAAGGGACAGAGTGAACTGCCAGCAAGCACAGATGTAGCACCCACACTCTGACATTCTGGACCTCTTATTAAACAGAGCTGAACAAAGAGAAAAGCACTTTTCCTCTCTTAGCTTGTCGAGCATAGTTCTGAGTAGAAGAGCATGTGAAGAAAGATTCCCTGGGACAAGATGCAACTTTCTAAATTCTAAGAAGACCCAAACATGCAAAATGGCTTGGGGACAAAATATAGTACTCCCTTTGCTACTCTGCTTTTAGTACTAAACAGACTTCCCTTTTCAATTCAAACCATGTAAACAATAAATTGGTGGGGATAAGAGGGTGGAGGAGGTGGTCTAAGATTTTTCTAGTAGTTCTGCCACTAAATAGGTATCACATTTGGGGAAATCTTTTAACCAATGGATCCTCAGGCTTTTATTTTATTTTATTTTATTTTATTTTATTTGGCAAGGGAAAGAGTTTGGTCCCTTCCTGTTCAAAATTTCCTGACTCTGTGTGGAAGAGATTTTTTTGAAAAATTCTAAAGGCAAAAACTTTCTGAGACTGTGAAAGATAGGGGCTAACCTAGGACCCTTGAGCAATCCCTCAGAAACTGTGCAAATTTTTTTTTTGGTTTGAGTGTATGTATTTAAGCACTTTTCTAGGAAGAGGAGTATTTCCATTAGAGCCTCAAAGAGAAATTAAGTCCCCCAAAAAGGTTGAAGCCACTGGTTGAGACAGTAAATGGAGCCTTTAGTTTCTGAGTTATCTGGTTGTGGAGCAGATGTTCGCAATCTTCACAGGGCTACAAAAATCTGTCCTATAAAGACTTCTTGAGTTTCCATTTGTCTTCAAGAGCTTTGTGTAATTTTTCATGAGCAAAAAAATGGCTGTTTAAAATTAAGGGTTCTTTTTCTTCAAATATTTAAAATGCTGGGGATTTCAAGATTTATTTTTATATCAGTGGCTAAAGGAAAGTCATTTTTCATCAGAAAATTTCAAGCATGTAGCATCTTAAACATTTGCCCACTCATGCTGAATTACTGTAATATTCCTTTCTTCTTGAGTTAACTGACTAAAAACAAAAGGCTTGGGTCCTCCTTCCAACTGGCTTTTCCTTTTCTTCTGATGGTTGAGTCAGTTCTGAAATAATGATGATGAATTAACTGTAGCTCTACTTAAAGTAGTAATTATCATTTTTATAAAGACTTGATCCCTAGATACATTAAATAGAAGATACTGATATAAGATTCTTAAAAGAATTGGTTGGAAATTAAAGAGGAAAACGACTCTAGGGAACCCGAGGAAAGACGGATACAGGAAGAAATGAAAACCAAAAAGAAAATCTACATGATTAGATACCAAAATAGTATTAAATCCCTAGGCAGAGAAACAAGAAAAAAATTTTCTTAAAACAAGGAACAAATATAGCTACCAGAGGACACTGATTTTTGAATACATTAAATGAAAACGACAAAAACATCATCACTGAGCTTTTCAAGGACATCTTTTGGCTGATAGTCTCAAGGTGTTTCATGGCTTCTCATTAAGGCAAAGACAGAGGCGAGGAGAAAACATCACAGGAAGAAGGATGTTGCCAGCGATTATCAGATAAATATCAAAAGCTCAGGGGAACAATCTTTATTGTGGCAGATAAATGCCAATCAGTGAGGAGTGCTGATTTTGCCTTAGACAATATCAAAGGGGTATGATGTGAAAAAAAAAAAAAAAAAGAAAGAAAGAAATGAGGATGAAGCATATGCCTTTTAACAAATTGTTCTAGGCAATCCTAGACGCTTTTAAAGGGACTCCAGTTTGCTCATATATGGCAATATGATCAGAACTACTCCTAGTGGCTCCTAATCCCAATGGGAAGGAAAGCAACATTCAGCGCCTCTGGTCAGCTCCAGTCTCCCTTCCCAGTCCTGCAGCTTCAGGTCGCGGTTCGTCTGTTAACTCTGAGGGCGCCAGGAGGAGGCACCGATCCTCAAATGAACCCGGTCCCCAGATGCCCCAACCTGGGTGCCTGTATTCAGGGAGCATCCTCCTGTGACTCGTGCTTTCGAGTAACAACTCAGCTTTTCTCCTCTCTCCGAGCCTCCTCAAATCCCATTCAAGAAAAAGCCTGGGATGTTAGCGGAAACGCACGGCGCCCCACCCCTCGCGACCCGGGCTCCAGGCGGCCGCCTGCAGCGGGGCGGAGGCCGCTCCCGGCCGCCGGGGAGAGGAGGGCGCGCCCCCGCCGCCCGCGCGCGCCCGTTGTCATGGGAACGCACTCGGCCTGGCTGCCCGAGGGGCGGCGGGAGGCGGCGAAGCGGAGCGGCCGAGCTCGGGGAGTCGCTATCGCAAGATGGCGTCTGCGAGGCCGCGGGATGCGGAGTGAGCGCGTCCCGCCGGGGGCTCCGCGAGGCTGCTCAGCTCCCCGCCGCCCCTCCGCCCGCCACTGCGGCGCCGCGGCCCGGCCTCCCGCCTCGCAGGTACCGCCGCCCGCGCGCTCGCGCCGCGCCTCAGCCGGGCGGCAGCGACAAGTGCCAGTCGCCCAGGGCTAGCGGGGCTCTCCTTCCTGCGCGCCCCACAATAACGCGAGCCCAACTTTTTCTTGCAGCGGCCCCCCGCGTCCCGGCCTACAGCCGGCTCCACCACGCCCCTCGGGCACCCTCTCCCTCCGTGGTGTGGGCGCGTCGGGCCGATGCGGTGAGCGTGGCCCGCCCGGCAGGAGCGCGCGGACCGGCGGGCGGCGGACGGCGGCCGCGACCATGGCCCTGACGCTGTTCGGTGAGTGCAGCCCTTTCCTCCCGCCGCAGGTGGGCCGCGCCCCCGCTCCGCTGCGGTCCGGGCTCCGGGGCGCGGGGCCGGCTCCGCGTGCCGCGCCCATTGTTTCCTCTCGCAGCAGGGCCGATGGGCGTTGCTCCCCCGGCCAATTCGGGGCTGGGAGGCTCTGGCCTCCTGGGTGTCGCGTAAAGGTATGAAGATTCTCCAGGACGCCAACTTGGGAGCGAAGTTGCCTAGTTGTTTCCAACCGACCTTTCCCAACTCGGTAAATAAAGATCCTGGAAAGTTTATTTATTTGAAGGAAGATGTCTGAGCATCCCCATCCTCCCTAGAATTACCAAATGCATGTGTTGCTTCTTGTTAGATTGATAGGGGATTGTTTTGAGGGGCTCTGTGTATTCCATTGGAAACAATAATTTGTGAATTTAATATTGGTTAACATTGAAAATGTTTGCTCAAAGGAATGAGAGCAAACAGAAGAAAGTTGGTTACTGGAAGATGAGTGTAATCAGAAGAATATTCTCGAGTGTTCTTTAGGAAAAAAATGTTATTTTCATGATGTTACCACTATTGTTTCATTGGTTAAGACTTCAAAGTGTTTTTTTCCTTCATAGTCTCCACTGACAAAGGATTGGGAAGAAAGACTGAAAAAATACATTGTTTCCTTTTACAAAAAACGGACTGTGGTATTTATGTGCTTAACTTAAGGAGAACTCACTATGTGAAAAACTAGATGTTCAAAGTATTCAGTTTACCAAAGAAGCAGGTACAGTCATAGATAACTGGTAGCCAGAAGGACACCCTTAGTAATTCACAATATCAAATTTCCAGTTAAATTTTATGTCGCTTGGTCAGGCATATTAAGTATCACATACTTTAGATGCCTTTTGATGTAAATCCCTCAAACTGAATTAACCTCCTGGAATCAAACTTAGTTTTATTTCTTCTTTCTCTGAAAAATAAAATCTTGCTGTTTTTCCATACCTTGTGTCTCCTCTGTGTTGTTTACTGAAAGCATTTTATTTAAATGGATTTTGGTAGAAAAGTTAAAAATGAGGGTGAGGTTCCACTTATGGTATTTTCAAGAAGCTGTGGCAGCTAATTAGCAACTGTTGTAGCTGAAAAAATGTTAGCAGTGAGATGTCCTGGAGTAGTTTTCTGTTTAAAACAATTTCTAATTTAATTTTTCTTCCTAAAGACATTTTGCACAGTTTGTTTTCAAAAGTAAGATTTACAAGTCTAGCACTTTTAGGATACTGACATTCCTGCTGAATAAAACAGGTGAATTGGGGCAGATAATGGTCTTTTAAAAGGATACATATATTGTCTTTCACCACCCAGGTGGAGGTGAGGAAAGGATTCCCATGCAATTTGACCTCTAGAAGGAAGAACAGTAGAAACTGCTCCCCTCCCTCACAGTGAATAAAGTATCTTTAAAATTCTAACGTTCACCTGTGGGAAAGTGGAATTCGGTTTACAAAATTCACTTAGTTACAGTGTGAAGATTTCTGTGTTGTAAAGCAAAGTACTTGTGAACAGAAGCTGTTTTTTTTTTTAGCTAGTGATAAGAGTAGCAGCTGTTTTAAAGTGTGACTGTAGATCAGTCATCTGAATGTCTGTTAAAAATGTAGGTTCCTTTGCCCAAAGACTGGGGAAAGGGACTTTTCAGGGACTCCTCTTGTGATTCTTAAGTACAGTCAGGTTTGAGAGCCATTGAATCAGTGATAAATATTGGGAGATTAGATCAAACTTGCCCAATTCAGAATAGCTTTTGTAAATGTAGAGAGAAGTATCGAAGGGTTAGAAGAAATGGATTTTATTTTAGGTTTTATTACCACTTAACTAGCTGGTCTTACAAGTCATGTCCCTTTATATTTACTCTTTTTTATTTGGTTGTTTGAGGCAGGGTCTCCCAGTGTAGCCCTGGCTGGCCTTGAGCTCGTCATCCTCCTGCCTCAGCCTCCCGAATGCTGGGACTGTAGGCATGCACCGCCATGCTCCGCTTATATTTATCTTTAACGACCAACTTAGAACAAAGGCGCAATGAGATGATAAAGTTGTGTGAAATGGTGACATGAAGGTCAAGACAAGAAACGTGCTGTCAGTCTAAGTCAGAGCTCAACCCTTTCCACCCAGGCCTGGGTTGTCTTGGTAGTTTAGGCGGAGTCTTACTTTTTATTTTACCTTCCCCTCCAGGCTTCTTCTTCTTCTTTTATTTTGGTACTGGGCATCGAACTCAGGACCTTGTGCTTTCAAGTCAGGCAGCAGCACCACTGAGCTAAATCCTCGGCCCCCATCCAGGCTTCTTATAAATGTAAGGAATGTATTTTTTATTTTTTATTTTTATTTTTATTTTTTTTATTTTTTTGGTACCGGGGATTGAACTCGGGTCTTTGTGCTTGCGCAACAGGCAGCGAAACCACTGAGCTAAATCCCCGGCAGGAATGTATTTTTAGAGGAAGTTAGTGAAAGTTAGCTTTAAAAAGTGAGAGCCTCTAAAATTACCTAATTCATATGCACCTAATTGTCCGTCCTTCCTTCCTTCCTTCCTTCCTTCCTTCCTTCCTTCCTTCCTTCCTTCCTTCCTTCTTTGGTACCAGGGATTAAACTTGGGATTCAATTGCGAGGCAGGTGGCAGAACATGTTCTCCTTTCTTAAATACGAGAACTCAGTCAAATGCTTCTTAAATTAAGCTGAGACCCTCACTGTTAGTCATTTTTGCTGTTTAAAATAGTACTTTTGCTGCCATATATCTTGTTCCGTGGTGGAAAAACCACTCTCATGATTGTATAGTCTTACTTGGGCATTGAAGATGTGCATCTTGGTATGGGGTTGAAGGCCTGGCTTATGCTGGGCCAGTAGTGCTCTAGCCCAGAGCTTCATCCTTAGCCCTGAAAATGTACATCTTTGAAAGTTCAGGGGTTTGCAACTATTTTTCCTCATCTTCAAATGATGTCACATCTCAGTATCAACGTTGATATAGTGTTTTTAATCCTCATGTCTCAGAAATTACTAAATGTAGTCCCAACTCCATTCCCTTTCCTCATTTGTTCAGCAGACTCCTCTAGCAGGAGGCGCAGTCCTTTCCCACACGATTCGAGTATGTGCAGTTCACAGCCTACAGTGGCACCCCGTGCTCCTCATTAACTGCTTCCCCGGGGTGCAGGAGTGCTGGAGATGACCAATACCAAACACAGTGTTTGGGCTGGAAAAGGTAGTGAGTCAGAGGCAAGTTGTACTTCTAGATTGTGCATTGAGCACCAAACCACCAAACTGAGTGCCGGGGCAAGATTTTCACCCCAAAGTGTGTCAGGTACCAACTTTCAGGAGTTTCAAAGCAGTCAGTTGAGTTTCAAGGCATGACTAATCCCATGCAGTTAGCAGCACCTAACTCTGAGGTAGGATAGAAGAAATAAAAGTACATAGAAGGAGATGAGAAAAATCCTAAGTGTTAAATTGTACTTTTAACAAAAATTGCAGCTTTAGGACACAAATCTGTCACCACCCAGGGTCTGAGATTCCTGAAGCTAAGATAAGAAACATAACCTACCCTCCCCATAAATTAAGTTTGCAGATTCCCTTGCTCCTGTCTTGGAAAAAGAATTTTCAGGACTAGTCAGTAAGAGGCATAGGAAGGATTTTATTAGGTGGAAATTAAAAGAAAAAGTACAGGCCCCAGAGGAGAGGGGAGAGGGAGAGAGAGAGAGACAGAGACAGACACTTATTTTCTGGAACTGATCATTTATGATTCCCTTGAAGGGGTGGAAACCCGAGAAAAAGGTGGCCCACCTCCTGAGAAAGGGTACTAGCCCATTTTACAGGTACAGGCCCAATATTTTTTTTTAAAGACAGGCAATTTAAATATTCTTTGGATTTTCTCAACCTGTTCCTTTGCCTTAGGTTCCTTTACTTTCTCATTCTGAGGAGTTTTGGGTGTGATCAGTCTGGAAGGTGCGGAGCCTAAGTTTAACCAAGGAAATATTGCTGTGGATTACCCACTTGTGAGGCCTGGAAGTTGCAGTCTTCTTAAAAGTACAATTTTTAGTTAGGCGTTTCCATGTCTCTTTTTTTCTTTCTTCCTTCTACCCTACTGCAAACCCACTAAAATTCCTAAGGTCTTTGAAGACATGTGAGCCTGGGTCCGTGTTTTCTCCTGTAAGGAGGTCTTGACCATTCCTTTTTCCCTGTAAGAGGGTTTTTCCACCCATGGCAGGCCATTCCTTTACCCCTGGAAAAAGGGTCTGTCCCTTTTGGTTGGACTGTGCTCTGTTGCCTGTGATTGTTGTCACCTGGGAATGAGTGGTCACCCTTCCTTTGCAGAAAAGGTTTCTACCTTTTATCTATAAACCAAATCATCTCTTTCCACAGGTTCACAAGTTCCCAGATTTCCACCCTCAAATCTCCATAAATATACCCAGTGTTATGGTTTGGGTCTGGATGTCCCCCCCAAAGCCTTATTCGGTCAGAGGTAGCTGAATCTGCAGTGTGTGATGCTGTGGGATTAAGGGTGTGTGATTACTAAACCACTGCGTGTGAGTGAGTGGTTTGGTTTAGCACCTCCCTAATCCCTGTAGTCTGGATGGGATAAAAGAGGCAGAAGGCCACTGTTAAGGTCTCTCTCTTGTTACCCTTGCTACCTTCTGCATGCCACGTTGTTTCTCCTCTGCGATGCCTGTTTGTCATCCCTGCCTTGGACTGAAAGCCTCTACGAACTGTAAGCCAAATCAACCCCTTCCCCTCTAACTTTAGATGTTGGGTATTTTGTCTCAGCAATGAGAGAAAAGTAACTAACACACCCAGCTTCAGACCACAAGGTGCCTCTGTCCCTCCTTGGGTCTGTACTCTATTTCTTTGAGTTTATACTTTTAGAATTCTGCCCAATAAATCTCTTTATGCCTTTTACTGACTTGTCCTGAAAATTCTTCTGTATGGAAGTCAGTGAACCTGCAACCTGACCCATGGGTGGAGAGAGTCAAGGCTCCCATCTCCGCTTTAAGGGACCC